TTGTGATTACTCATTGAACTCAATATGAATGTGAATATTATTATTATTATTATTATTATTATTATTATTATTATTATTATTATTATTATTTAAAGTAGATCTACTCTTAAGTCTTAATTAGTCCTTTTGTTTAGCTTAGCGAAGAAAATATGATCTTCTTGGGGAAATTAATGACTAATTATGGTAACTTAACATCTTTAACTAATTCCTTTTTATAGACCTTAAGATTTGTATTTAGTTAGTAGATTAGGTATTCAATAGCCGAACAATTTCTATAATGTTTGAACCTGAAATCTCTGACTTAGATTAGCAGATTTATATGATTCTTGTTAAATTTGTGATTATTTATTGCTTAAAACGATGAAAGTACAATACAAATAATTAATCTAATAAACTGCAATGTATGATCAAATACTGTTGAATCCATGCCATGATGGACAATTTATATCGTGGACCAGGGTCCACATATCATTGTGGACCCTGGACGAAAACAATATCATTGTGATATTTAAGCTTTAATAGTTCTGTAGTTTTTTTTTTTTTTTTTTTCATGTTCCAACACAAATTTTAATTTATTTTAGGTACAAAATCAATACTCTTAAGGTATATAATTTCATAACGCGAGACACAAAAACTCACAATACAAGACACATACCATGTTATATATTTTCTTATTCTCAAATCTTATTTATGTATATAATATATGTCCTATACTCCTATAGGCACATAATTTCATAATACAAGACATAAATTCGTAAAATAAGACACAATATGTTGTTTGTTACACAACTACTAATCTATTTTAGGTACAAAATCTATACACTTAAGGTACAGAATTGCATAAATGAGACAGAAACGCATAGCACAAGACACAAAAGTGCATGTTATATTTTCTTTATTTCAGGTAATCCATACGCTTAAGGTATATAATTGCATAACATGAGACACAGAAACGCATAATACAAAACGCATACATACACATGCTTTACAGAAAGAAAAAAAAAACGATAACGTTAATTAATTGAATAACAAACGGTCGCTGTTAAAATTAAAATTCAAAACAATATCGTTTAAGACCAGGACACGTAGATCCTGATCCACGATATAACGATTGGCCATGATGACCTTTAGTTGAAAATTTAGTAGACTTTAATGTCGATTAAATGGATAAACACCCGTACGTTGTCCTTGATCCTAATTACATAAATTTCTTGTCTTATGTACCGTTCCGATCCATTGGTTTCAACAACCTGTTTAGGAGGTCAAGTCCCTGTCTCTCTAGTTTAATTTGTCCACTCATTTCAAGAACCCAATGGGTCATATAGAGGTTATTGAATCATGGACAAAATGCTTTGGAGATAGACATGAAATGATGAGTTGAGTTGGAATAGACCATATTCACCATTAATTAAATTTGTTTTTATAATTTCAATGTCTATTATTATTATTATTATTATTATTATTATTATTATTATTATTATTATTATTATTATTATTATTATTATTATTATTATTATTATTATTATTATTATTATTATTATTATTATTATTATTATTATTATTATTATTATTATTATTATTATTATTATTATTATTATTATTATTATTATTACCTCGTAACGAGTGGATATTTAAAAAATTTAATCCCATCATCAGGTATAATTATATTCACAATCATACTTTCTATTTTATATTTTAACAAAGGAAAATGCCTTTTTAATTTTCCTCATTAATTTTCCCCATTAATTTTTCCTTCAACTTTTCTTTCATGGTGACTTTCTATTCATCAGGTGTCCATGAATTAGTTACCCACAGCTAATTTAAAAATGAAGTTAGTTGTCCACAAAAATTATGTTGTGTGAAGGCGGTAAAAATTGAAATTAAAGGAAAATATATAAGAGGTGTTCATCATTATTAGTCTTTAATAAATAACTTTACAAATTGATAAAATATAAAATAATTGCAAAAGTTAAAACTAAAAATTCATAAGACTTAATAAAAATATTCTAACATAATAACTAATATGTTCAATTTTTTAAAACAATAAATATTCATCAAAATTGCAAGTTAATTTCATTCATCCAAAATAAAAGAAAAACTATATATATTGTATTCTATTTTTTAATATATAGCTTTGCCAAGATTTGCCCCAACTTTAAGACTTTATTGCACTAAGATATGATTATTCATAATTATTGACTTATAAACTATAAATAAATAAATCATATATACACCACCTGGTTGGATTAGGTATGACGTAGGTGGTATATATAAATTCGAACTCGTAACAAATACATTTTTTTTTATATATATATAACATGCATTATGTATCTCCATCACTATATGGCCCTGTTTGGTAAAAAATTGGCATATAAGTCAATTTTGACTTATTTGACCACTATTAATTGTTTGATTTAGTTGAAATATCAATTTAAATGTTTGGTTAATTAGCTTTTTGCAACTCCAAAAGGCTAAAATTCAACTAACAACTAACAGCTTATTTACCAAACACTTTTCTACAATCAGCTAATGATATCAACTATTTATACCCTCTAATTTATACAATCAGCTAACAACTAACCAGCTATCAGCTAACAGTCATTTTACCAAACAGGGCCTATGACTAATTTGGATTCGAGTTGCGCTAACAAAGTTTAACTCTTATAGTCTTATTCTAGGAAGGTCTTACCTAGAATTCTCTAACAGAGTCAGTAGTGTTAAAAAAAAAAAAAAAGGAATAAAAAAAAGAGTTACTTAACTTATTGTTTTTTTTTTTGACAGTCATTGGAAGGCTTTCTTCACTATGCTGCGCGTTCTTCATTGCCCAATCTTAGCTTCCTACTTCAAGTGTCATCCACCAAGCCGTCTTGAATGAAGATGATCCAACTCCAACCTCCTAGTCACAAAGATATGATTTTGTTTTAACAAACAATTGACCATAACCGAAAATGATTCTTTGAATCTTAAGTTGTTTAGAATGCTTTGATGGCTTGTGTACTCATGTAATTAACTTTTCTCAACTCTTTAATACCAACTTTAAAAAAAAAAAGAGAAAAAAAAGCGTAAGGAGGAGCTCTATTTATAGAGTTGAGAAGGCACAAATTAAATTAAAAAGGCTTGAAATCTATTCGTTGGCGCCCTTTGAGATGGTAGGTGTCCAGCAAATTCAAGACCTTTTTGAATATATCTTGAAGTCAGGAGTTTTAAGACACATGCCTAACAACTCCTTTTATCAAAAGGCATTTCATATTTCTCTTATTGACATATGTCAAAACTCAGATATATCTTTACTTGTGGACATTGGATTAATTTACTACCCTAAGAGAATCTATTGATCACATAAAATTTATTAGACGTACGATTTATCAAAATTTGCTGAACCAGTTAACAAACAATTTATCATATAGACTTCTACCAAAGAAAAGATCTATTGCAAGATCTTCTGGACAAGATCCATTGATTGAACATAGAAATATAAACATCATCAAAATCTAAACAACATTATTCCAAAGACATATTTATCTACTGCTCCAACCTGCTAATTTATAACATACACAAATCTTAAAATAACACAACTCCAAGCTAGTAATGCTCCCTTAGATTAGTTTGATATTAATCAATTAATTTAATCTGAAAGATTTTTATTATGACTCAGCTCATTATTGTAAATATAATATTTTATTACTAATATATTATATCATGATACTAAAATAGTTTCAAAACAAAACAATTTCAATTTTAAATATATATTTAGCAGGACTAAGAGGAATTCAAATAGTAAACAATTGTATCAATAGAATTAATTAATAATTACTAGGAAAACTGTGCTACTTAATAAGTAGTTATTAGCACTGCCTTTAGTGGTTGATTCATGCTCATTCCTAACACACTTCATGGTTCAGGTGAAGCTTAGATACCTTAATAAACAATGTGACAGTTCACCTACAACTGTCTGTTTTCCCACCTCCAAAAATTTTAATTAAAATAATATACTATGGTTGAATCTAAAAGTTTTTAATCAGATATAAAAGTTTCAAATTATAATCTAGCTTCCCAAAATTAAATCTCCGACTCCAAGGACTTCCCACATCTTATGGTAATTTAGTGGCTCAGCAAATATGGTCAAATGTCGGTGGTGCACACAATGAATCTCCGCACTCTGCCCATTATAGACATAATTCCCACACTGTCACTTTTGAGTTTCGAACCTCAGTCTCTTATCCAAAATACTGTCTACTGAACCAATGCGGGCAAATGATAATCTAACTTAACAACATGAATGAATGTTGGTATAAGATATACAGAGTAGATTTATAAAAAAAAATTGATATTGGGGTGTTTGGTAAATAGCTGTTAGCTGATTGAGTTAATGGGTTTGACTAGTTGATAGCATTAGCTGATTGTAGAAAATTGTTTGGTAAATTAGCTGTTAGCTGATAGCTGATTACATACAAAATGACTTTTTCAAAAAAGGCAAAAAGCTGATCGAAAAAGCTATTTTGAGCAGCTTTTCGAATTTTAGTGTTTTAGAGCAATATGTTATTACAAAAAGTTAATTAATCAACATCTCATATTAGTTGTTTAACCAAGTCAAACCGCTAATAGTTGTCAAACAAGCCAAAATTAACTGATAAGCTAACTATTCTACCAAACAGAGCCAATTAACTATATCTTGTACTGTAATTTATACTAAATTTATAGACTTTATATAAGCTTACCGCTTTTTTAATTTCTGACTTTTTTTAAAAAAAAAAAAAGAAGGAGAGATGAGAGATTGCAGTAACACAAAAAAGGTAAGAATTTAACCATTGACATCTATGGAGTGAAATTCTTTGATAAAAAAACAAAGTCAAAACCAATGATAAAACAAAAACACAGAAACATCCAATGAGTGTCACCTTATCTTCTTAATTTATGCAGAGGAATTGAGGCACCATCTACCAACCAGAGAATATATCATTATTTATAATAAGGCATTGTGATACTACAAGTGCATCAACAGAAATTAAACATATATAATTTCCAACACCCTCCCTTTATCTACTCCACTGTCACCCACCTTTAATTTTCCTCAATTTTCATAATCCTTTGTTGCAGTACTAAATAAAGTAAGCTGCTGGGATGGCTGCTCATACTGAGTTTATGTATCCAGAAAGTATGATTATGGATGCTGAAGAGCTAATACAGGAGCTTCTTGACGACGAATCGCCATTGTTCTTGGCTCCTCAAGAGACAATAATGGAGTCCAGTAGTTTTGCAGGTGTTTCAAATTACTCATCATTCCTTAACAGCTTGATTTATGGCCATGCAAACCAACCCCTGCATGATGCCAGCAGGTTTGTGTCTAATTTTTGGTTTCTTGACAGATTTGGTTTTGTGTGAGTGATGACTTTAAGGTATATGTTTGCAGAAGTTGTATGTTGGATAAAGGTTTGATGGTGAGTAGGGATCATCATGAGAGTAAATATACTTTGAGAATCAAGACTAATTGTGGCAATGCAATGGCTGATGATGGTTATAAGTGGAGGAAGTATGGCCAGAAATCTATCAAAAACAGCCCAAATCCCAGGTTAGATTAATCACTTCTGTTTGGGTAACTCCGGCCACTACTCGAGAGTCTATATTGGTAGGGCGGGTTTAATTTTTAGATTTTTGTGCGCCATATTCTTATAAATAAATGAGGTCCTATCAAAAGTACAATCTTTAAAATCAAACCTTTGACCTCTAAGATAAAACACCATAGAAATGCATTTCTATCATTTCTCCATGGAGTCTTTTATTTAAGATTAATTGTAATTTTAGTTTCTTTTAATGTCTTAACTAGCTAGGTAAAAATTAAATATTGGACCCTCTAAAATTTGAGGCACTGTGCTGTTGCACAGCCCAAAATCCGACCCTCTGTACGGGTAAACCAGCCTACACTGCCTATAGCTGACCGTCTCAAACCAAGAGGGTTAGGATTCGAACTCGTGACTTTGTGGACTGGTTACCGGTTTGTATCCTTAATTATTTTGAGTACATAATATTCTTCTCCTAAAATGTTGAATCCCCAACCGCAAGTCCCCACACCCTGACCCGACAGAGCATTTGAGAAGATGTAAATCACAGCGAGGGATCTGTCCATTTTGGACATAATCTCACACTACAGTTGCCGAATTTAAATACTGTCTGCTGAACGATTGAACTAAGCCTGTACGGGCAAGTACATACTATTCTAACTAGAGTTTGGCATATATAGGAGCTATTACAAGTGCACAAACCCCAAGTGTGGAGCAAAAAAACAAGTGGAGAGATGCAGTGATGATCCAGACACCCTAATAATCACATACGAAGGACTTCATCTCCATTTTGCATATCCCTTTTTCACATTGGATAATGAACCCAACAACACCATTGACGTCGTACCCACAAAGAAACAAAAGAAGACCACTGCAGAAGTAGTGGAGTCCCAGGAACAGGAACAGGAGAAGACAAACCAAGTAGTGTACGAGAATCCAGGCATCACAAATCCAACCCCAATTGCACAACTTCTTGATGATGAATGGGATTATTCATCACAAGGGTTGCTTCAAGATGTGGTTCCTTTAGTTATTCGCAGACCATCATCAACTATTTGTAACGCCACGACGACGTCGTATTCTTCGTCTTCCTCTTTTCTTTCTCCTCCTACTTCACCCTCACTCTCATGCTCCACTAATAACTGTTTTCTGCCAGATTTTGATGCTTCAAATTATTAAAACCATGTGGCTTTTGTATTTGTATTTTACAGTTTCTAATAAATTAAATAAGTACTAGCTTAGTAGCTTGTATTATATATAAATATATAAGATAATAACATATATAATTTGAGTTTGTACTTGTATAAAGTTTTTAAGGAGCAGCGCAATAAATTAATTTCTTATTTTTTGTATATGGTCTTTTTATTTTCAGAAACTTTTTTTTTTTTTTTTATTTGGTATCACATACACTACTTGAAAGTCTGTATTTAGTAAACCTTATTCATATGTAATAACTCGTAAACTACACATGAATAAATAAACTGTATTAAAAGATGATGTGAGATGTATGCTTGACTGAGTTTGCAATTTTTTTTTTTTTTTTAATTACCATCTTTGAGTGTTATAAAGTGTATCTCAATATGAGTGATGTTTACAACTTTTCATCATTTATTAATAGTAAAACAAATTTGTTAAAGGCTGAAAGGCCTTATAATCTCCATTTAAACATGAATAATATTATCTTTTCCATCTCACAAACTAATGACACAAATAAATAAATAAACAGTTAATTTTTTTTTACGTTTAACGAGAAGGGTGAAACTGAAAGTGAACTATTTGGGGGTTATTTGAGTTCGATGGTTTAATTGTTTTTTTTTCAAATAGTTCAGTGACTTATTTGTACTTTATCCCTTATTTATTTGTACCTAGAGTGTCTTGTGTTTCGCGTTTTTGTGTCTTGCGTTATAAAATTTTGTACCTTAAGAGTATCAATTATGTACCTAAAACATATCAGTAGTTGTGTAAAATAAGTAAATGTATAACATGTATGTGTCTTGCGTTGTGAGTTTTTGTGTCTTGTGTTATAAATTTATGTACCTTAAAGTGAATTTTGTACCTAGAATAGATTAGTAGTTGTGTAACACACAACATATTATGTGTCTTATGTATGTTATGAATTTATGTATTATGTTGTGAAATTCTATGCTTATAGAACATAAATTATCTACCCAAATCAGATTTGAAAATAAGTAAATATATAACATGTGTATGTGTCTTGCGTTGTCAGTTTGTATGTCTTATGTTACATAATTATGTACCTTAAGAGTACGAATTTTGTACCTGAAATATATTATTGTCTATAAACATAAGGAACAGAAAACTGGTAATCCGTTAAAATTTAAAAATAAAAACGACATCGTTTTAAATTAGGGTCCACAATGCTATGTGGACCTCTTCCACGATATAAATTGCCCAAAACATCCGTGATGGCTTCCATTATCATTTACAATTGTTATATCGTGCACCAGGGCGCACACTGCATTGTGCGCCCCACCCCGCCTAAAACAATGTCATTTTGTTAAGTTGCATGGGGAGTTGACGCGACAGAGTGTATGTGTATTCTGTTATATAATTATGTACATTCTGTTATACAATTATGTACATTTTTTATACAATTATGTACATCCGAAATAGGAGACTTTTTTTAAGAGTTAAGAGTTTATGTGTATTATGTTATGAGTTTATGTATATTATGTATTATGTTAGATTATGTGTATTATCTTTTCAAAAAAGAGTATGTGTATTCTATTATACAATTATGTATATTCTATTATACAATTATGTACATTTTCAAAACATGAGATTTGTTTTTAAAGAAATTAACAGCAGACATAGAAAGCGAGATTTCCCAAAAGAAAAAGTACAAAACGACGTAATTTTGCACCAGGACGCACAATGCAATGTGCGCCCGTGCCCGATATAAATTGCCTATCATTTATGGCTATTGCAATTGATGATTCAGGAACTGCAAGTGAATTAGACTGCAGTTATTAAAGCCTTTCAACAAAAATGAAAACTGGCCCAACTGATTTTGCTAGACTAATTTAATTTTATGACACATTTTGGGCCCTTCAAATAAAAACCATTTTGTTTTCATTAAACTCTTTTATATATATATATATATATATATATATATATATATATATATACTAGATTTACACGTGCACTACGTAATTAATTTAATGCCCAATGTTTGTATTTAAATAAATAATTCGAAGAATATTAATGCAAGATTATATATGAGAAGTTCATTATAATTGTCATTAAAATTATATTAATGTTTAATTTGCACTTTCCTAAAAACAATTATCCAAATACTTATTGTAGTTGGTATGGTAGTAGGTAGTAGATATACTATAGGTTGGAATTACTCTAAGTTTTGTTAATTTTCTTTTGGATAAGTTTGTCATTGTTTTGTCTTTATTGCTTATCCGCTTCAATTCTTTTTTATTGGTAGTGTCTCATGTGCAAGTGCAATTGAGTTACTGTTGCTAGTTTGTAAAAAAGCACATATTTAGTCTAATTAGTTTTGTTACATGAAATAGATGCATGAAATCCCTAAGTTAATTCCCTTATACTAACATTTATAAAATTGACCCATCATTTTTTAGCCATTGATCATTCTAGATGGATGAGTCAAATTAGTCCACGCTTATCACTAAAAAAGAAGTCCAAGAAAATCCATCTACATTATTTACATACCGGAATTGAATGGCCTTGTATTGATGTGCCAAAATGGTGATCTCCTGATGAAGCAGACAGCAGCCATCCAAAACTCTTAAGTGCAAGGGCAACTTCAGCATCAGTAGAAGGACTGATTATTTCCATGGGTTCAACAGTGAATATATATATATATATATATATATATATATATATATATATGGTCAAGACTCGCTACATTATATATATTCCCATCCTCATGTTCTAGCTCTCAGTGAATGTTTAAACAGCACTGAAACCATTGCCAAGTGTAAATCTATGTGTCAATAGCCAAGCCAAATTTCTAACTAAATCAACTCTATCGATCAATCATTCTGTCATTAATTGTTTGATACCCAATTGAAATAGTCACTTCTAAAGATTGTTGGCAGTTAGTCAAAGTGAAATTATATTAGAAGACCATACTATTGATCTTAAAAAAATACACATAGACAACGGTTTTTTAAAACTGTTGTCGTTGTGGTGTTATTTTTTCACAAAATGCAAAAAGACAAACACACTTATAACAACAGTAATAAATTGAACTAATCCTTAGAAATCTTGGAAATTCCCCTCTAGTGCAGACAACAAAAAGCACACTCAATCTATCAAAGTCCTATGAAACTAAAATAAAAATCAAAACAGTAATAAAATAAAAATAAAGCAAATACAAAATAAGATAGAGAATCAAAATTGGATTGTTTCCCAATAAACGCCTTTGTTTATTGTCATTAGCTTAATACAACCATCAATGACTCAACAAGGATTAATCAAGTTTTTTGACTCGACTACCTTCAAACTATGAACATCGTTGGGGTAACACATTGCTTCAAAAAGGTTGAAGCGTGTAATCTTAGCATCAAAGTACATAGTAAAGATCCCCTCAAATACATCAACCTTGGTCCTTGAAGTCCTAAAAAAATGGTCTCTGAGGTAGTAATTATAGAATATAGAGTATGACATAACATTAATTGATGCACCTAAATCGCACATAGCCGTCTCTAATCTCTTTTTCCCTATAGCTCAAGAAATAGAAAATGAATCTTTGTCGTCGCATTTAACATGCAACTTCCTTTGAAGAATTGCATACACATTCTCGCTCATCCTCAACTTCTCATGATCATTCCCTTTAAGCTTATTCTTTCGTGCTTGACTGCAAGTGTTGGGGTATGAAAAACTAGGAAACCCAACCACATGAGATTCTTCCACCTATGCATGAAACAAAAAAGGATAATGATCAATATAATGAGAATGAGAGGCACAAAGACCACATACCTTCTTAGCTTGCTGCATATTCAATTGAGTCACCATCAAGGTACTGAGCTGTGATAATTGTTGATTTGTGACAACAAGCTATTATTGAAGATGTAAAATTCTTACTTTAGTAACCCTTTTAATCCCAACATCTTGTCTTGTGCCAAATTTTTGTGAATTGATAACCATTGTATCAATAAGCTTCCAAGCATCTACACGTGTCTTCATCATCAAACATTGTCCTATCCATAAAAATACTAGATCAACTGAACCTATGTGTATTGATGGTGAGGATAAAGTTGACATAATTTATTGATGAGTAAATACTCAAAATGGTCCCTCGATTATAGCTAAATTCACAAATTGGTCATTAACTTTTAATTTTAACCAATTAAGTCTTTAACTTTACAATTTTAACACGATTTGGTCCTCCGTCTATATATTTGCCCGTTTGTTAACTGTGATTTTTGAGGATATATATGTAATTTCATGGTCCATCTTTGGTTTTTTAAGGTTCTGGTTGCATTTCTAGACCGCACTGTTACATTTGAATCCACTGCCGAAAGTAATCTGCCAAATTCTGTCGCCTTTCTTCATCCTCCCTTTGGATTCAATGTAGTTGAGTTCGTACCAGAGCGAAGAAGACGACGTGTTTCCGAAACGGTACAACGTCATCCTGGAGGCCTCCACGTGCTCCGATGAAAGCTACAGGTTCTTTTGGAGATCGTCAATGATGGCGCAGCCGCCGGCGTTGATGCAGAAGTGTTCGAAGGCCTGTTTGAAGTCGGGAATGTAGGGTTTCCATTTGGGATTGAAGATTTTCTGGTCGATTAGGGTGAAGAGGAAGAAGAGCTGCTCCGACAGCGGGAGAACGTGCGGACCGATTGTGGTTATGTTGGATTTGAGGGCTTCGCCGGCGATCGCCATTAGGTCTTTTGAGAGGTTGATTCCGACTTTCCCTTGCGGATCTTCCTGCCCGTAAACATAGCGGTAGGCTCTATCGTCGGCGCCCTAGTGCGTGCAGACCACGTGCATGAGCCGGTACTTGGCCCGACCCAAATCGCGGCGCCACCCAGTAGACTCAGACACGGTTGTTTGTGGCGTTGGACCTGATAAAGATTGCAAATTGGATTGTAGCACTGGTAATGATGAATTTTGCGAAGGTGTTTGGGCGGTGGATTGTGTCGTGGCAGTAGGTGAAGGCTAGGCGGTGGAGTGTGTCATGACAGTTGATGAGGGCGGCTGGGCAGTGGTTTGTGGCTGGGCGATAAACTGTGTCACGGTAGCGGATGAGGGCGGACGGCGATGAAATTACATATATATCTTCAGAGATCACGGTCAACAAATAGTCAAATAGAGGGA